GCCTGCCTGCCTTGCAGCCTGCCTTGCAGCCTGCCTTCCTCTTCCCGGCCAGCGCGGGCCCGCATCACTCTCGCAGCGGCGGCGGTTCCTTCCTGGCACCCTTCGGTGAGCGAGTTTTCTCCATATGGATGGACGCTATGCCTCCGCATTAGCGATCCTGGAGAAGGTGTGCTCGTTATGCGAGGCACCACTGTATAGTATTTCATACCCAGTTCTTGGGTTCAGTAAAAACTAAAGGGGTAGATTATAGCATTTATAATGAATTTAAAAGACAAATAAATAAAAAATAAATAATTAAAAGACAAATAAATAACAAGCTGCTTAACAAGGCAGATCAGTTAAAAAAACTTTCCAATAGAAAAGCACAGTACATCACCTTACAAAACTTAGATAGCAATAAATATGTCAAGATGCTCTGCTATGTGTGCCTCAACTTAGAAAACAGTGTCCCAAAGGGAAAACTGGAGAGACTCTTTGCTTGGTCACCAACCATATCACCTGTAAAGATGAAGGAATCAGAAAAAATGCCTCAGAACATGATATAAACATTTTAGTTCATGTAAGAGGAACCAGGCTCTTGTTTTGGTTAAATTATAGAAGCTGTTTTGAAGTAGAGAAGTAGTCACATGAAATTTCATGTGATGGGGGGAGAGAGAACAATGTATGATCTCTATCTGTTTTTCCTTTTATTTTAGAAATGTTCCCATTGCCAAGAGCCAGGAGCCACCTTAGGCTGCTACAACAAAGGCTGCTCCTTCCGATATCATTATCCATGTGCCATTGATGCAGGTAAGAAGAAGACAGGAATGACTATTCATTTACTCATTCCTGAAAATGTTTAGAATTGAGACAGGCTGAAATCCTTTTGCCTTTCAATTGTATCCTGTAGGATGAGAACATGGTGAAGTTGTAATAACTCTCAGCCTATAGTGGGAAGATACCTACTTCAAATACCAGATTGTATTTACCTGTGTCCATGACAAATATGCAGAGATTTAAAACCAATATCCTTGTGAAAATTCTTGGGAATTGGGATGGAGTATCTGGGCCAGATTAGGTCCATGGACTAAAACATCCTCCTTAGGCTGACCTGGGCAAAGTGCAGCCCAAGGGCCACATACGGCCCGCAAGCCACTCCTATCCAGCCTGCCGGTCGTTGCTCCAGTCAGGTGTTCAAGCACTTGTTCAAGCCCAAGACAGACTGGATTTCTCACACTGAATAAGTTGAACATCAAAAGCATTTATAGCTTTTTGTCTAAAGTTGATCAGTTGCTTATCTTTAACATACTGCAAAAGAACTCTTTAGTATTTGTGAAGATTAACAAGTTTAAAATAAAAACAATCATAACATCACTGTTTCATTTTATTTTTAACTAAAGTTGGTTCGGCCCCCAAACACAGTTCAGATTTTTCATGTGGCCCCCTATAGAAATTAATTGCTCACCCCTGCCCTTAGGGCCTCTGGTAAACCCCTGCCCTTAGGGCCTCTGGTAAATGCTACTGAAAAGAGAACTAAGTTTTATGATTTCTGTGATTTCTGCCTTTCTTGGGTTGAGAGGGCTAATGGAATTACATATACACTGTGTCAGTGTAAGTACATGCAGTCATGTAGGATATTTCCAGTGCAAAAAAAATGGAGTCCTGTTGAACTCTAAGTTATGTTTTAGTCTGTTGCCAGAGTGGTGAATAGGAGTTGGAGTCAGAAAGGGCAGCTGTTGAAGCTAGTTATAAATTCCTGCCTTTGGAGCATCTTCTGTGAAAACATTCCTATGACATCCAAGTCCCCTGGCCTACAACTATTATCCTTGCCAATACCTTCTAATCGAAGCCATCAACTTCTTGATACTCCTGTTCCTGTATTAACGCACTGTTGTCACATTATCTGATTCTCCCTTGGTCAGGAAGATAAATGTAAACATACTGGCAATGTATTTGTACTCTGTTGCCCAAGGAAATAGATTTTCTCTGTGAAAGCTCACACTGATTTTTTTTTGGGGGGGGGTCTATCTGTCTTTTGTCTGTTACATTCTTTCTACTGGCTTGTAAAAATCTTGGTTACAGACTCTATTGTATTGAGAAATGCTTGTATAGTACTTGTTACTCTTTAAAACCTACAGAGGTAGGTCTGTTACAAGCCTTTTTCTATAGAATTATAAATCTGTGGCTGAAATCCTGTTGTTTAGCATAGTACATCACACTTCAGTGGGCCCATTGACTCAGTTTGGATTTGGTCAGTCAGCTCCTCTGTAAGTTCCACTGATTTAAATGGGCCTACTCTAGTTGCAGCTTACTTTAGTTTAATAATTTGCAACTAGAGTAGGCCCATTTAAATCAGTGGAACTCACAGAAGATTTGACTCACCAAATCCCCGCTAATTCAGTGGGCCGACATTGGTGCTAAATGGTAGGATGTCAGTCACTGCAAGGTGAAAGAAAGAAAGAGTGCTGTGGTGTAAAGGACTAACAAATTATATTTGGCATAAGCTTTGTGAACTGCACAGTCCACAAAAGCTTGTGCCAAATAAAATCTTTTGGGTCTATAGAACTGTTCCTTTTGTGCAGCAGACTAGCACAGCTGCCATTTTCTCCTCAAAAATGTGTTGTAAAGTAGATGTCCCCAACCCCCGGTCCACGGCCCGGTGCCGGTCCATGGCCTGGGCTGGACTAGGCCGCCGAAACAGACCTCCCCCCGCCCGCCTCCGCACACACTCACCCCCACACAGCCCATTTGCAGCTGCAAAATCCTAGACTGGATCCTAACTTCATTCATAAGAGTCAAGTATGTTTTTTTTTAAAGCATGGAATAGAGCCTCATGGTGCAGTGGTTAAAACGCTGTACTGCAGCTAAAACTGTGCTCACGACCTGGGGTTCAAATCCCAGGTAGCCGGCTCAAGGTTGACTCAGCCTTCCATCCTTCCGAGGTCGGTAAAATGAGTACCCAGCTTGCTGGGGGTGGGCAATGTGTAGCCTGTATAATTAAATTGTAAACCACCCGGAGAGTGCTTGTAGCACTATGGGGGCAGTATATAAGTCCAAAAAAAAGCATGGAGGGATTAGAGCAGGGACAGGGCACAAGGCACAGAATGCCTCCAACCATTCCTCGCTTGCCTTTCTGGACCGTTCTGAGTTTGGTGGAAGCTGAATTGAGTCCCGCTTCCTCCTTTGTTTCTGCCTTGCGCCGCGGGGAACCTAGGTGCGAGTGCGTAAGAAGAGGGAGGAAGGGGGGTGTCATTTCATGTCTCAGCGTCAGTCAGACAGCGCACGAGCTCATGATGTTGCTGTGTTGGCTGCCCTCCTGCCGTGAGGGCCCCAAACATGAAGGGGTAAAGGGGGGGGAAGTGCCCATTTCTTTCTGTCATTTTTTGATACTGCAGCAGTGGCGGCAGCTCCCGGAGGATCCTCCCGAGCGCGGGCTATGACCTGCCTGCCCAGCTACTTGAGTGGTGGCAGTTCCTGCGCCGCCCTCCGTGCCTTGCTGAAATCTTCACGGTGACGCCAACCCCCTGTGCTGCCTCAGCAGCATCTCACTTTAATGCCCAGCCTCTTACGTTTGGCCAAGGCAGCGGAGGCCGGCTGGAAAGCCAGGAGCGCAGATGGACCCAGTGGCTGGAAGCAAGAGCCCGGGAAATTCGAATGGCTTCCCCGCCAGGCTCTGCCTCCAGCCATTGGGTCCGTCTGCACTGCTGGCTTT